CCCCCCCCCGCTCTCTTCACCACGAGAGGTGGTCCCATGCCCCCCCCCCGAGAAATTTCCTAGCTACGCCCCTGAGGAGGAAGAAAAAGGAAAAAAAAATAAAGGAGAAAACAGAAAGGAATGAAAAAGAAAAGAAGAAATGAGCGAAAAGAGGGGGAAGATAAAAAAAGAAATGAGAAAGAAGAAGGGGAAGAAAAAGAAAAAAAGGAAGGAGATAAAAGAGGAGGAGGAAGAGGAAAAAGAAAAAAGAAAGGAGAATAAGAAAAAAGAGCAAAGGTAGAAGAAAAAAGAAACATGAATGAGAAAGAAAGAAGAAGAATAAAGAAAGAAAAGAGAAAAAGAAAGAGAGAAGCAGAGGAAGAAAAGAGAAGGAAGAAGATGGAGAGAGGAAAGAGAAAAGACAGAGATGAAGAAAAGGGGGAAAAGAAGGGTTAGAATGAGAAGATGAAAAGAAAAGGAAACAGGAGAAAATAGGGAAGCAGAGGATAGGAGTAAGAAGTATAGGGAGAGAGAGAAGAAGAAGAAGATGAGGAAATGCGGAAAAGGGAGGGAAAGTGAAAGAAGGGGAAGAAGATTAAGAAAAGAGAAAGTAGGAAAATAAGAAAGAAAGAAATCGTGAAATGGCACGCTTACTCGGGACACGTTAAAAAAATAGCTCTTCACCAAACGAGAAAAAGATTACATTCACGCCATGTCAATTTGCCTTCAATTTTTAGTGTAGGCAACAAAAACTCCCTCATGGTCGAATAGTGGTATCCCCATTTTAGCAGTCAGATGGTCCCTAGGTAGCTTTTGTAAGAATCGCGTCAAGTTATGCTCAAATTATTAATTGTCGTATTTTATTAAATTATTATCAATTATTTTTTGTCGTTTTTACGTCGTATGAGGGTCGAGTCCGAATTTTAGGGTCATAGAGGATACTCGACATAGTGCCTGAATGGAGGGAAACTTAAGAAGCAATACATTTAAGTGAGTTATTTTCAACGCCTTAGATTGCTGACTGGACTTTTTTTTCTTTAACTCTTCCGCAAAAAAAAACCTGTTTGGATATGTAAGCTCGAAAATTTATTCCTGAAGTGTCCATTGTCCATGAAAAAACTTTGCCACATTCATTGCGCTAAAGTCAGTAAGAATAGAAGCCACAACCGTCATAACTTGCAGGAGGGCGACGCTTCGATGTCCTAAAACAACCTAATTAGAATTATTTGGAAATTGACCATGTCACGATAAAAATCAGTGATAGTTTCCGTAATCGGCACAATAGGCAATTCTTGAATTTAATTAAAGTGTAACAGAAACAGCAAAGCTCCCATAGTTATTAAGGAGAGCAAAAATAGACAGGAAACAGCGAGGACGAGGCTGAAAAAATACACCGAAAGTTATTATGTAGTAAGCAGCGAACAGTAAACGAATTTCATCGAAACACCTGGATGCAACTATTTGATCTTCAAAGATGTCTGTGTTGCATACGCACGAGATTGAAGGCGTTTTGACACTCTCGGAGCTCACTGATTATACTTGCGGCGCGGCGAGTAGGGCAGTGATGTGAGATTCCAAGAAGACCGAGCGTGTTCAATTTTTCGTTTATACTCATGGGCACGGATAGTTACACGCAGGCGCATAGGATGTGAGTACCTAGCATGCTTTAGTTTTGATATCATATGCTAAGCATGATTGATAGAACAACTATTTGTGACCAAGAGATGTTTTTGTAGTATAACGACGGTGAAACTCCCAAACCACGTATCTCGTTTGTGCGGCGTTTCAAAATCTCCGCTCCCGTTTTATTTTTTTGAGGGAGAACAAATTAACAAGACCAAGCAATTGGTATGGTATGGGCGTGTGCAGAGAATGGCTGATACCAGGTTGCCAGGTTGCAGAGTTGTTAGCTTTTAAAGTTTTCAATTTTTGTCCGACCTCTGCCATTGACTCGATCCACTGTGCGCCGCGCCGCGGATGAGGCGATGCCCGGTGCGGTGAGAGCCTGCCGCCTGAAGAGTTAAAACGCCTTCACTCCCTATGCGTATGCAACACGGACATCCGTGGGGCCCGAATAGTTGCGCATCCAGGCGCTGTAATGAAAATCGTTCAGTGCTCGTCACATGCGCTACTAACTGAGGGAGCTTTGCTCGTTTTGTACCTTAACTTACTCCAAGTATTGCCAACTATGGCGATGAAGTAAACTTTTACTGACTTTTATCCCGACATTGTCGATTTTCCGGAAAAATATTGATTGCTTAAATGTGACACTACGACACTACGTTGTCGGTTCTCAAAACCGTGCTGAAAAATTTACGTATCCAAGCATGATTCGTAGAGTTCCTTTCAACGTCACTTCAACAAGTTGCCCTTTGTGTGGGGTTTTTTCCGTTTGAAAAAATACTTTTGACGTTTAAGAGCAAAATGTTTAGAAAAACAAGTCTGATGAATCGCAATGATTTTTGAACAAGAAGGGAGACCGTTCCTCTTTCGAAAAAATGAAATGCGACAGAAAATCTGCAACATCGCAAGCCGAGATCACGTGGATGATTTTCTCGTTCACTGACGAAACTGTATTACAATAAAGTCTAGTAAATGAGTTTTTGAAAATTATATAATGCTCTGATGTTTCCCTCTTGCAATACAGGCTGCGGCCCTGACACTTACTGACCTATGAACGACGAATGTGGCTGTCTTTTCATGGACCCGTCAAGAAAGAATTTTCGCGCGCGTATCCCAACATGTTACTTTTTGCGGAAGAATTAGAAACAGTCAAGTCAGCAATGTACATCAACATCTACATGGTAAACTCAAAATCCGGTGAGGCAGGG